AGCCCAAACCAATCTCCATATTGGTTTGAATTGTTGATTCTGAAGATAACTACGATAATGAAGAATTTGAGAAGCCTCTAAGCATCGTTATGAAATCGATTCAAAAGCTAGATAATGATCGACCGGTAATATTTTCTTTGTCTTATTACAACAACCTACTATACATGGTCAACTACGGCTGAGTAATAGTTAACTATGTGAAAGAAATTGAGGGTTATTATTATAGTTAACTACGGCCGTGTAATAGTTAACTATTATTGTGTTTACTCAAATGTGTTTTTGTTTAAGGTAAAAGTGGCATATACGCTGCCTGCCAAAAGTCTAGAAGGAGACGACTTGTCATGGCCTGATGAGAAGGAGGATGATAGAGTTTTGTATATGATACATAACTATTGTAGTTAACTATTATTGCAATATATATATTATAAGCAGTCTATACATATCATAGTGCATTATGGTTGTAAACATATAGTGAACTATAACTAATACATAACTATTGTAGTTAACTATTATTACAATATATGTTATAAGTTGTCAATATAGTGAACTATAACTAATGAAATATGCAGATCGGACAATAAATAACTACAAAATTACTCAACTATAATTGCAAAATATATTATAGTGCACTATAGTCGTAAACATAATATATTATAGTGGATTATTATGAGCAGTCCATAAAGTTAGTGAATACGCTTACAATAGTCCACTATATTAAACTTCAGTTCAAGATAGTAATGATAAAGCAGGAACCTTTGCACAAGATATTAACTAGAGATATGTAAATGAGACAGACAGTTTCCAATAAAAATATTCAGTCTTTATTGCTTTCCCCGCATGACACAACAACTGATACACAACACAGCTGCTGTAACAGATAGATTACACAAACTCTTCTATAGAACAAATCTTACAACCTATTCTACCCAGAGTTACGCGACATCACACACACGTGATTCACTCATGAACATGTTCCTAATCTACCCAGTGTAACGCAACAACAGTTACGAAACCTATCTCTTTCACTCAACACAACAGATCAAATGGCTCTCACTGTTTCTGAGTTCTTCAAAGATCTTTTTCAGAAGAACTAGTCGGCATATGAACTATCCCCCCTCCTTTTATAGTAGTAGCAACCAGCAACTCCTATAGCCCTAAAAAACAGCTCCTCTTTAATCTGAAAGGACAACAGAACTGTTCCTGTTGATGTCAGACCACCAGTTCCAACAACCTTTGATCAATAGTAAGTAAACCCACTTGTACCTTGACTTTGTGCACTTGTGTCAGTCCTCCTTGTTTTCCGAACCCGACTTTCTGCGTACGCTTCCTGGTAGTGTGGTTCCCAACTCGAGGTGCCACCTGACGTGCCTAGTCACAAGAAGACTTTTCTCCTTAGTTTGCTAATTATTCCTTCCAATTTCTGTGCAGCACACGAACTCTCCACTGCTTCACTGATCTTGTTGCTTCAGCAGATTCTTCTACACTAACA